GAGAGAGAGATATTTTCTTTTCACTGTTTTGCTTGAAAATAAGTATAATACTTATGTATTTAAACCTCAGGTTTATGCATACCCAGAAAGTAATTTTATTCTAGCCTGGCTAGCTGGCCTACTGACATGCATTTTCACCACTGCTAAAAATAATGAGGAATCCGAGTGACACACATTTATGGCTAGGAGTGCCATCAGATCCCTTGACCTAATTGAGCATGCCTACACACCTTAGAGTGTTTTGCATAACCAACTTAGACAGCAGGAACATTTCCAACCAGATTGATTGACATATTTTATTTCTAACTTAAGCTTAATCAGGACCAAGAATGATTCATTTATACCTTTCAAACTTTAGGAATTGACACAGGAGACAACCAAGCTGCAGACTCCAGTGTAAGCAATCGTGAAAAGGAAAAAATATAGATTAATATATTTTATTAGTCTACTTAGCTGCTGCAGTTGATGTAATAAAATTAATTAGCTGGTAGGAGTCACTTTATTTTATTTTATAAAATAAATGTCAAATTAGATTTTTGCAGGAAAGTTTCTGTCCCAAATCCCTCCTCCACTAAGGATTTCTCTGAAGTCATGTACTGAATGTAGAGCTATCGTAAGGTGCAGTTTGATTTTTTTCAGAAACCAGCCGGAGGAGAGCTCATCTCCCAGCAATAACCACATTGACTCTCAAATTGAAAGAGTTTCCGGCTTTTAAGGTGTAAAGTACCTTCAAATAAATATCAGCGGTTTCCACATGCCATGCCTTAAACAGGAACAAAGCCTAATAGAATAGACTGTAATAAAAGTGCTATTTCCAGCATGTGTGTATGTGGCTGCTCTACACTGCAAATGTCCTTTAGCACTTTTTAACCATATTCTCTAGTGTGTGTCAGCAAAGAGACTCCATCAGAGTATTTAACATTGCTGGGAGCAAAGGAATAAAGTGGAGTCACTGTTGATTATTACTCATTAGCCACAAGGACATCCACTTAACATGTGAATAAATGAATGACACCATGTCCTAATGGAAATGGCCTCAGTGTACCTTTAAGCAAAATGTTGTTTAATATCTTCCATTTGCTGAATAGTAAAGAGGCCTGTTGGACATGCACAGCTAGCAAGCGGCCATTGTTGCTTTGTTCCAATTTCAGCATTTAATAAAAAAAGATGTTGTCTTGACTGCAGCAAAGCTGGGCCTCAAAACCCTGGGTGGCAGCACAGGCTTGTTCTCATTCTGCAAATTCAGAATTTCACTGGCATCCTAAAGGGTTACTGCCCATAAAGCAAATGAAGCCTTAGAAGGTACATGTTCTTCATTATTCTGCCTTACATTCAAACATATAAAACAAAGAACATCTGATATCTTTATTGGTCTTCTTAGATAAAACACAAGCAAGCTATAAGCCTTAATTTTCTTATTACCATTTGTTAACAAGGAAGATAACACTCTCAAAAGTACTTGATTAGGGCTCCCTTTGATTTGTATCTTGTTATGATTACCAGGGCACATATTTTTGTATTATTACTTTAGTACACTGATAGTTTGGATCAAAGTGATAAAAAGAGGTATTTTAAAAGTGTAAATATTAACCATACAGGTAAACCACATAATCTGAACAGCATCTTGAACACTGACATACTGAAGTACACACTGGGAAACCAGTCATAGCTGAGATACACGTTCCTATCTGGAAAGCTCTAGTCTTGAGCTGGAGGAGCCCTTCTGCTCCCAAACCCTTTCAACAGTAACTTACATACTTGACAAATTTGTTTCTTTAATACAATATTACTACTGAGGATATAGGATTGAAGATATTTGCTCTATCACGTATCTAAATGCTTGTGATCAGAATCCAGGCCACATCTATCTGTTCTTATGGGAATAAATCAGCTTTAACTAGCTAAGGGAAACAACAGCAGGTGAATGTGAAAGATGTGGGAGGGTGTTTTAATGCATGGTCTGATGTCTGATTGTGAAAATTGTGCTGGATCTTTTCCTTACTGTTGTGATTTTGCCTGCATGTCAGCTCGCTGCGCTGGAGGCGGCTCGGTGCTGTTTCCCAGCTCTCTCCTGCCTTATCCCGGGCCGTGATGGGCACTTTGGCTGCCCTGAATGGGGAGCCTGACACGGCCCGCTACGCCCGGCCGGCTGCTCCCACCACAACTGGGTCTGACAAGTTGGAAGTCTCTTTCTCCTGCCTCCTCCTCCTCCTCCTCCTCCTCGCCGACGCTTCCTCCGGCCGCCCCGCGCAGACAGGGAGCGAGCGGGAGATGATTACATCAATCAGTGTCAGGTCTGGGAGCTGTGATTTATGAATATGCATAATGAGCTCTCACCTTTGAGAAGGACTAGCTAGGGAGATAATTGATTAGACAGGAAAAGAGCAGCCAGCAGAGAGGGAGAAGGGAGAGGGAGGCCTCTCTGTGCTGTCTCAGGCAGGCCTGGCTAGGGCTCCAGCGAGGCTGTCAAACAGAGAGAGGGATTTCTAAAAAAAAAAAAAAAAAAAAAAAAAATACGCGTAGGATTTTTAATTTTTGTTGAAACACGCATAACAAAATGTTTCCTCACAAAATTAATGGGAATTTTCTCCACATTAGGGAAGCCAGGCAGGCACAAAGACTGCTTTACCCCCGCAGGGAAACCAAGTTCTCACTTCCAGAAGCCAAAGGAGCAGCTTTCCCATGGCTTCCACGCTGCTGTTGCAGGAGCATCTCCACGGTCAGAGTGAAGGCAGAAGGCTCTGCGGGGACAGGGAGCTGAGGGCCTCTGTGCAAAGGCAAAGGAGCCTTTAATGGAGGTAGAAAGCTGGGGATGCAATTGTTTTCCCATCATGGTTGCATTATTTTCTTCCATCCCCTTTAAGCATCTGTCTGGCCGCTGTGTGAAAGTTTCTATGGAAAACCCACCAGGATGCCCAGAGGAAGGGGATGTGGAAATTTGCCTCTAGCTTTCTCTCCCCCCACCCCTCCCATTTTAGATGCCATTAATCTTTTTTTTTTTTTTTTTTTTCCCCTCAGAAAGAATTGGCTAAGGAAAAAGAGGCATACAAAGTGCAGAGAGACTGGATAAAATTTACATGAGAAACGATCTGTTTTCTTACCCCCCCCACCCACAGAGATTCTTCCATTTCAGGAGCCTGTTGGAGCGAAAGAGTGGGAACAGTTCCTGGCGGAAAGACAGAGAGCTGCATGGGGCTGCAAAGAGGCAAATGCTGTTTCTAGGGTGAGCTGTAGCCAGAAAGGACATATGGGGAAAGGAAGAGGACGCAGGGGGGAAAAAGCAGAGATCACAACACTGCTGCAAACTCTGTGGGTCCCTTCCCCAGCCCCCTTTGCTCCCAGCTATTGCTAACAGCAGCCGGGGAGGCTGCAGTGCACACCAGGAGAGGGGTGTCCCCATCGTAATGCTGGTCGTAATGCAGGGAGAATATTAATTGTGAAACATTAAAACACTATATAAAACGTGTGTATACACGCACACATGTAGTGTAAACATATAAATAAATCTTATCACTTACAAACGCCTAGGATTTAAAATGTAGTTTATCGGCCTAGTGCAACCCAATCCTATAAATAATACATTCCTATCACTATGACCTCAAAATGTCAATACTGCACAGCCCTGTGCATTTGCATATCTTGTACTGTCTAAACTTGAAGCATGTCAGCTATGTGCTTCTGTTTGTACTTTAACTTCATTTTAACTCTTGCTTCCTAGCTCTGAGCACCCTCCCCCTCTGCGGGGTCTGTCACCAAAACGAGACAAGCATCAGCTATTTAATCACCACCACTATAATTATGCCGTTTGCAGGACTGTAAGGAGAGGACAGGTAGGGGACACGTCTCCCCGGCAGAGAAGGAAAAGCCTGGGAACAAAAGCAGAAGGGAGCCTGGCCACAGGCTCTACCTGCCCGAACTGCCCCGTCAGCCGGGGGGATGAGCACGGCCATCCGCGGGCATCGGCTGCAGGGAAGGGAAAGGCAGGAGGGAGCAGCCCTCGCCCTCCTACCAACACTCCCCTTGGGATGGTTTCTGAGCGGGAAGGGAACTTTCCCGGACTGGGCCGATTCCCAGCACCTTGCCGGGGAAGCAGAGCTCCAAGTTTTGGGGCGAGGCGTGCAGAGGTGCAGCCGGCAGCTCCGTGAGCCGGGAGGAGGCGGCCCGGCCCGGCCCGGCCCGACCCGACCCGGCGGAGCGCACAGCCCGCGCGGCCGAAGCGGAGCGGGGCTCCCGGCCGGGGCTCTCCGCGGCGCCTCCTGCTCGGTGCCCCCGTTCCGGCCGCTACCTCCCTCCGAAATTCCAAGCCCTGGGAGAGGGGGGATGCCCCGGCCCCGCCGCTTTGGGCAGCTCTCCGCTCAGCGGCACGGAGAGCTGTGGCGAGCACCCCAAAACTGACCCCAGGGACGCGCGAAAGCAAGAGGGGAGGGGGCGGCAGAACTAACGCAGCTGCGCTGCCGACCCGCGGCGACCCCCGCAGGCTCCTTTCAATTAACAGCCCTCCAGCTCCGCGCTGCCCTGCGCTCCGGGGCGGGGAGGGGGGTCAATAGCGGCACCCGGCACTGGGCCGTGGATCATCCGCCGGCCGCCCCGACCCGCGCACGGAGCCGCGCACCCTCCGCAGCCCGCCGGCCGCGGCGCCTGCAGGGGGCGCTGCGGCTCCAGCGATGGCGCCGCCGCCGCCGCAGGAAGCGCGGCCCGGCCCGGCCCGGCTCGGCCCCGCCGCTGACCCGGCCCGGCCCCGAACCGCTCCCGCAGAAACCGTCACCGACCGGGAGAGGGTGGAGGATGAGGGGAGCGGGACTGCGGGAGGAAAACAACTCCAGAATGGGGGAAACGAGAGTGTAGTCAAAGTGGCAACAGTTTATTTATTAGCCAAAAATATATACTTTCTTGTACAATTTGGTTCACACATATGTACATTTTTACGTTATGTACAAAAACAAACAACAACAACAACCAAAAAAAAAAAAAAAAAAAAAAAAAAAGGGAACACCTAATCCTCACTGGACTTCCAAAAAAATCTCACAGCTCAGCTAACCCAGGTGATAGTACAGAAGCGGGTATTTTTTTTCCTTTTGAGTTTTAATATACGGACATGCTTACAAGTTGTAACTATACAGAGATTTTTTTACAATCATTACAACAACAATAAAAAATTAACTATGATGATGAGAGCGCCGATAGAACCATAGCGGCGTCAAGTTGGTTCTGGGGCCTGGAAAAAAAATGACACAGAAAAAAGATATTTAATAGGATTTCTAGGGAGCTTGGGCTGGCACAATATTTGTAACTGCAGGTATCTCTGGTTTTGTTGTTGTTGTTATTATTTTAATAGATTTATAAAGATAAAAAGTTTTCAGAGTGACTTGTAGTAAATCTATTTAGCCATGAAAACACGGCGGGCCCGATCCCCGTGCTTTCAATCAATCAAAAGGGTAATTGGTTTCTCATTGAAATTGAGTGACTGCTACGCCAAATTTGGGGCGGCAAGGCTCAGCCTCTTCAGCTTTCATACTCGAGGTGGGTGTTTTTGTTTCGCTTTCATTATCATTATATATTTTTTTTAAATTTATATTTTAATTTACTATTTTCTGCTGCCTCGGTGCCTCTCCCCCGGCAAAGCGACATCGGCGGGTGGTGATCCGCTCTGCGGGGGGCTCAGGGATGTTCTCCCGAGCCAGGGGCGACCCGCGCCCGGGCTCCGCAACCGCGCAGCCCCAACGCCTCCGAGCGCAGCTCGGCCTGCCCGCGGGAATCGCTCCCGGGGGCCACAACGGAGAACAGCAAAGAAAATATATAAACAGAATAACCCACCACGCAAGCAGAAAAAGAACAAGAAACCGCCCTGGAAAGGGAACCTAAAGAAGCGGAGAAAATAAGCTAACCATTTACAACTGCCTCCATACATCCCGAGGAGACGGAGGGAGCCATCTCTTACCGCCTCTGCACTGGCTGGAAAGCTGTCTTTAGTAACTTTTTCTCTACTTCCAAGGCACTAGATCGATCTAAAAAGAGAAGGGGGGGGAAAAAAAAAAAAAAAAAAAAGCGTTCCTTTATAGCCTCTGTTTTATTCCTCCCGTCCCTGAATTAAGCCTCGAGATTTTAAGCTCCTTTCTCAGCGAGTTACAAATACGACACAACGACTGCTCTGCTTGCAGAGGTGACCGTCAGAGAAAACACACTGACCCCGCAGCGAGCCTGACCTGACGGCCGGGTCCTTCACGCAAAAGCGACAACAACAGCAACAAAAATTATCTCCGTTGGAGCAAGGTAATTCTCAGGGATCGAGACTACCCGGGCCAGCAGACCCCCGCCACCGCCCCCGGGGCCCCTGCGGCCGCCCGCCCGCCGCCACCTGCGCCCCGACGGCCGCTCCGCGCCGGGCCGGACCGCGCCGGGCCGGGGGCACCGTCAGAACCGCGCGGAGCCGGCGCCCCCCGCCGCGGCCGCACGCACACGGCCCCGCCGGGCCTCCCGCGCCGCTCCGCTCCGCTCCGCACCGCCGAGCCCCCCGCGGCGGCCGCCGGCCCGGCCCGTCCCCGCCGCGTCCCTCAGCGGTCACCTGCTCCGACGGGCTCCGCGCTCTGCGCCTGGTCCGCGGGCCGCGGGAAGGCGGCGGCGGGGGGGGCGGCGGAGGCGGCCCCCAGCCCCAGCAGGTGGGGAGTGTTCAGTAAGGCCAGCGGGTGCGGGGGGTGGTGGTGGTGGTGGTGGGCCGGGAATGCGCGGTTGGTCCAGTTGGGGAACTTGCCCAGAGGGCAGGAGGAGACGAGTCTGTGGGGCGGCGGGGTGGGCAGCGGCAGCGGCTGGGGGGCTGCCGCCGGTGGAGAGCCGCCGCCAGGAGACTTGCGGGGGTTGTCCGGGCTGGTGGCAGTCTCGGCCAGCGACCAGATCTTGGGTTTCGGCATGGTGCCGGCCAAAGCGCCGTCCGTCGGGGAGGAGGCGGCGGAGGAAGAGGCAGAGGAGGGGGGCGAGAGGTGGGGCGGCGGCGGCGGCAGCGGCGGCTTGAGGGGCTCCGGGCCGACGGGTGCGGCCGTGGCGGGCAGCTCACACTTGTGGTGGTGGTGATGGTGGTGGTGGTGCAGGTGGTGGTGGCGGAGGTGGTGCGGCTCCCCCTCGGAGGCCTTGTCGTAGCGCTCCTCGGAGCCGGGCAGGTCCTCAAAGCCTTCGGATCCCTCCGAGTCCGTCTTGGAGTCAGAGTGCAGGAGGTCGGCATCCTGTAGATCATCCTCGAGCTCGTCCTTGTTGCTTTCGATGTTCTCGGTGTCGATGTTCTCGAGGTCGATCTCCTCCTCGTCCTCCCTCTTGTCCTCTTCCCCCTCGTGGTCGCTCCCGTAGGAGTTGCCCTCCTCGTCCGTCCTGCTGCGGGGGGCCCAGGTCATTTTGTTCTCCTTCTTGAGCCGCCGCCGCGCGTTGGCGAACCAGGTGGAAACCTGGGTGAGGGTCATTTTGGTGATGATAGCCAGCATGATCTTCTCGCCCTTGGTGGGGTAGGGATTTTTCCGGTGCTCGTTGAGCCAGGCCTTGAGGGTGCTGGTGCTTTCCCGTGTGGCGTTCTTGGGCCGCGACGGGTCCCCGAACTGGTACTGCCCGTAGGGGTAGAAGGCAGGGTGGTGGGGGGGGAAGGCGGCATGCTGCACCCCCGGACTCTCCTTCAGCTCGTACTGGGCGCCCTGCAGCGAAAGGGAAGGGGCGGCCCGGCTGAGATGGCGGCCCGGGCCCGGGTCCGCTCCGTCCCGCTGCCGTTACCGAACGGAGCCCGTCGGCACCGGCGCGGCGGCCGGGCCGCGCTGCCTCCCCCACCGCGGAGCTCCGCGGCGCCGATCCCGGGCACGCTGCGGCCCCACCAGCCCGGGCCCCGCCGGTGCCCGGGGGTGCCTCGGCGGCAGGACCGGCTCCCCACTTGAGTGTGCGCGGCGGGGCCGGCGGCCGCTGGGGCCGGTCCCCGCGGCCGTCAAACCCCCGGGCGGAGCGGGGGGACGCTGCGGGGCCGCCGTTCCAGCCCTGCCCCTCTCCGGCAGTTCTCCGGGGCAGGGCGGCGATAGCGCCCGTCTCTCCCTTGACAGCCCTCCCGGCGTGTCCCCCGGCTCCCCCCGGGCCGATCCCCAGCGCGAACCGAGCGCCCCGGGGAGCGAGCGGCGAGCCCCGGGGGCCTCTTACCAGCTGGGGGAAGATGGGCAGCTCTGCGGCGTAGGGCAGGAAGGCTCCGTAGCCCTGGGCGGCGGCGGCGGCGGCGTAGGGCGCGCCGTACATGGAGGAGAGCACGTTGGAGAGGGTCCCGGACGGGGCCAGCTCGGCGCCGCCGCGGGAGCCGCCGCTCCCCGGGCGCTCCGCCGGGTAAAGCGGCCTGATGTACTGGTAGCCCAGCTGGGGGAAAGACATGGTGGGGGAGCGGGGTAGGGGAGGGGGGAGGAGGAAGAGGAGGGGGGGGGAGACGAGAGGAAGAAGGGAGAGAAAGGGGAGAAAGTAGCAGGGCCGGGAGCGGAGGAGGGAGCCGGGTCGCTCGCCCTCGCCGGCCGCCCGCACTTTCAGCGCCTCCCGCAAACTCCGGCAGACATGGGGGGGAGCCGGGGGTGCGCGGAGGCCGCGGGCTCCCGCCTGTCCTCGGCCGCCGCGGTAAACGATCCGATCGCTTCTTTCTTCTCTCACTTTTCCTATTGATCTGAGTGGACCCAGGTCAGGTCCTAACAGATTGCCTGAGATTATTGGGACTCTGGGCTCTGATTGACATTTCTAGTCTCTCACAAGCCCCTCCTATTTCTTTTAAGTCTCTCTCTCCCTCTGCCTCCCTCTCTCTCTCATGCCCAGAGCTCGCTCTCGCCGGGTTTGTCACTAGCTGCTTTTTTTTTCCCTTTTTTTTTTTTTTCTAAATCTGTTTACTGACGTCGCGATCTTTTATTTGAGTTGCTTTCAAATCTCGTTTTAGCGATCGCCAATCAGTTGTGTGTTTTACAAAGGTTTAACCCTGCCTCATGGTATTCTAATTATATAGAGATAGATTTAGATATAATTTCTTTCTTAGCCCCCCCTTACCCAGAACGTAGGTAGCTGAGGTGTCATTTGTGAGCAGTACACGAGAGGGACAGGAAAAAGTTGTGACATTTAAAAATAAAGGCTCGCACCTACACCATCCCCCAGTTCCCCTTTTCAGGTTTTCAGATTTACAACCTTTCTTTGCCCAGGTTAATTTTATTTTCTTTATTAAGATATTCCCTTCTTCCCTTCCCCTGCTCTGGCCCTTGCGAGGGATACATCTCCTAATACAGATTTAAAAGTCTATTGCATTTTTTTAAATTTGCATTTCCAGAACTACCTTGAAAATCTTCCTAATGTACTGGATCTTTAAGGAGTTCTCTACATTTTGTCTGGGCTAACAGTGCGCAGATACAGTGGAAAAGCTAAGTTAATTTTCCTCCTAATAAGGGACTTCAAAGAGTTGTAGGTCACAATTTTACATCAAAGGCAGAAAAGAAGGCAAATTAAAATCTTAACAAAGGAGAGACGGGAGCAGCCCTCTGGGCCATTAGTAAATAAGTGGTGTGAAAAAAGGGACAATGACAGGCACTGGAATTAAACTCATTAACACCTTTTTGTCTTGGTGCGAAATCTCTAATTAGGAAATTTATGATCATTTTGCTTATTCCCTCTGTTCTGAATCACTACAAGGCTAAGAAGGAAGTACCTGGTACGTGCAACATTTGCAAAGGGAGCAGTAGCACGGGTTTGCAAGGAGCTATTGGGAAGCAGTCAAGCTACGGTTTAATTACAAAATAGGGTTTGGGGGTTTTTTTATGATGCACACATTTTAAATTACGGTTTGTATTTTGTTAT